CCTCCCCCCCCCAAACTCTGGACAGTTTCTCAACTTAAACCCTTGCAGATGGCGGATCAGTATCCTAGGCAGGGTGTGAGATTGAGAAACTGCGGCACTAGGTAGGAGGGGCCAGAACAGGTTCTGAGATGTCAGAGAAAATGCATAGTGACGATAGGCTTTCTTCACTGTTCAAACAGACTTTTGGGAACTTTCTGTTAGAAAAGATCTACTTCCTATAGGAAAGAGGCAGATCTGCATAATTTTCTGAGACCCAGGTATTTTTATCTTATCTAATATTGAACAGTGTAGTGAAATTCATTTTACTTTTGGTTCTCATTTATAATACATATATACATGTCCTAATAATTATTTTATTGTATGGCAAGGCTCTTGAATTTACTGTAGTTACCTATACACCAGTTTTTTTTCCAGTTTTTTTTTATAGTCATTTATTTACTTAAATAATCCATAGCCTTTTCCTTTGGATTTTGTAAATGATGCTCATATTTAAAGCAAATAATTTCTATTCCTTTTTACTATTCCTAACGTTTATTTCTGTGTGCTTATTCTCGGGTTATGCATTCTGATCCAGTTTTGAACAGTTAGAGTTGGTAGCATACTGCTATGTGCTGTTCCTTACATTTATGGGAATGCTACAGGCATTTCACATTTAAGTTTGTTTCCTATAGATGTGAGGAAATAGAAGTTCTCTTCTAATGTTAGTCTGGCAAATCATGCATTCACGTTGAATTTTTTTCAGAAGTGTTTTCTGTACTTCAGTACATGATCAAATGCCCTTTTAAATGTTATCTGTTAATGTAATATTTTAGGCAGTTTTTTCTAATGTTATAGCATCGTTACATTTCTTGGAGTCAGCCTCTCTTTTTTTTTTCCTTCTCATTCACTGCTATATTGAAACTTATATGAATTTATTTAGGATCTTTGCTTGTAGGTGAGTGAGCTTGGCTCAAGTGTTCTGTTTTCAAAGTGTCCTCAGCTGGTTTTCTTATCAAGGAGAGCTAGCCTAGGAAAATAAGTTGGAAAATTCTCCATTTTGGGTTGCTTTGGATGTGCTTACATGAAATGGCAATTAATTATTTGCTTGTTACTTGGTAGAACTGGTCCCTGACTGCCCTTGTCCTGAAACATTTGAATGTGACTGAAGCTTTGAGGATGGTTTACGTTTGTATTTCTCAGTAACAGTTTTCTATTCTGTTTGAACCTCTTGAGTAATTAGTACTTTTTCTGAATAATATTCTATTATCATTTGGAGTTTGAAATTTAGTGGCTACATATATATTCTATTTGTTGTAGAAATTTTCATCCATACACCGCAGTAAAGAGAATAGCGTAGTAAAACTGATAGACCTGACGTCAGAATCAACAATCATCAATACATGACCTACCTGTTTACATTTATACCCATATCTACCCCCATTTCTGCCACTGAAGTAATGAGAAACAAATCCTAGATATCATGCCATTTCATCTTTAAATATTTAAGTATCTATTTCTAAAACACAAGTTTCCTTTGTGAAACAAATGTTCAATACTTAAAAAATTAATATACTCAAATATCCAGTTATTTTTCAAATTTACCTGACTGACATCCTTTTAATGTTTTTCTTTAATTTGGGTCAAATAAAGTCTATTCATTGTCCTTGCTTTTTATGCCCATTAATTTATAGATCCTACACCCTCCCACATATATACATTACCTGTTTTCCGTGTCATTCTTTGTTGAAAAAAATAACCTCATG